AAGTCATGAATAAGAAGCAATCGGAGAATTTCTTCTTCTCCTCCCCCTTCCCCCCTCTCCCATATACCAAAGACTTCTTTGTCTCACCAAAACATGTTCTTCAAGTGCATGGCAGGCTGCCATGCACTCGAGGCTGGCATAGATTCGTATCCATAACTGATTTAACTTTTTTTTTAATTCAAATTATCGGTTATAAAATTCGCGTAAGAATGTGTTAACGGATATCATTATTTTTTCGATAATTCGTAACGAGGAATATAAATCACTTATGGAAAGATAATGCCACATTATACACAATATTGTTATCATATCTTTTATACGTATTATTGTTTATCCTGTTTATCCCTCTTTTTTATACACTGATGACTAAAATTTAGTCATATTAGTAGTATTCACTTGAATTCACTGGATGAATTCACGAGAAGAAAATATAGATATAAATATATATACAGTATATTTCTAACTTTGCTCTTGTATCAGAGCTAATAAGAATAACACTATGTCTTTCAAGGTATATGAGCTTACTAACAATGAATATTCTTTGATGCAAGTGTATTTTGTGTCAAGTTTTGAATAGGAATATGTTAATCATCTGCATTATTTCGAACATATAAAAAAGATCTCTCGTAAAGTGAAATGGGAAATTCCTGGTCTCGATTCCTCATAATTGAATAATTTGATAGTGACAGAAAATATATTTGGATAGAATCACGATTAATAAAAGCAAGCTGCAGTTATGTTTAAGTAGCTTATGTTGCAAGTATTTCTGCAGGTTAATTCTAAATTAAGCATACTTAATATTAAAAAGAAAAGAAAAAAAGTATATATATATATATATATATATATATATATATATATATATATATATATATATATATATATATATATATATATATATATATAAGAGGATTTCAAAGTCGGTAATTTTCCCTTTCACATAAGCAATGGAATGTAATATACATTTGTAGATTACTGTGTACATACTTTTCAACTACCATTTCAGTCTGCACTGCTGAAATGCTGGATAATTTCCTGATGTGATAGGAGTACTTTGCAGGATGTTGCAAGAGTGTTACATACAGAGTAAAGTGATAGATTACTTTGGCACTTATAAACCATAGGTCTAGATTTAATATGCATGATTGTGGAATTATATAACGTGCCTTTTATAATTCTCGTTTGGATACGTTGTTGTACAGAAAATACTCATAATATTTAGGAAAATATTATGTGATGTGCTGGAGGTATAAGGACAGTTTAATAGATTTTGGTTTAATTTACTCTCCGATGAAATCAATTTTTGGGTTAAAATGCAAATAGATTTGTTTGATCTCTTCTGATAATGATGCTATGGCTTTTGTAGTTGCAGGTTTAGTGTGTAGTGCAGTATCATTAAACATATACAGACACACACTCACACTCACACTCACACTCACACTCACACTCACACTCACACTCACACTCACACTCACTCACACTCACACTCACACTCACACACCACACACCACACACACACACACACACACACACACACACACACACACACACACACACACACACACACACACACACACACACACACACACACACACACACACACAACAACACACACACAAAACACACAAAATTCACATTCACATATTTAATGCATACTTGTATATAAAACATATTGCATGTCTTTCATATAATTATATACCCATTACTGAAATGATTATATTCCTTTGTTTAAAGAGAGGCATTCAGGGTATTAGGTAAATATTAGGTAAATAATTAGGTAAATGTGCCAAACCTCTGTATATATTACTTCTGTTTTGATAAGAATATGTGACTGAATGCATGACTAATTTTGTCTTAATTTTGTGTGCATATATTTACATTGAAGTATTTTAGTGTTTTTTTTATATATAATTTAGACAACATTGTTCATTATCTTTTAAATATCCAATTCAATTTTTTTATTTGTTTTGTTACTGTGTTACTTTGTTTGTGCACATTAGTGTTTCTTTACATATAGTCATAAATCATTCATAATTTGTTCATTAAAATCCATTTTTATACAGACATTTCAAATTTAGGGAGTCAGCATTTTCACGACATACATAGACATTTCAGCATGTAGGGGAGTTCATTAAAAGTGTAAGCATGACCACATCACGTGCAGAATATTACGAAATATGGATTGAACCATTTTAAATCCTTTTTTATTTAGCTTCTACTCTGATTTGGAAATTTCAAAGAGTTAGTTTGAAACTTTTATGAAAATTTCCCCTTCTGAGTCCTCTTATATCATATCAGAGGTGAAATTATTGTGAAAGAAGAATAAAACTTAAAACACGAAAATAAGAAACCAAGATTCTTAACAAGCAGAACGTTATAAGCAGAGGAAGGAGGTAACGCAACAGTATTCCTTAAAGTTCTATTTCTGTGATAAAAAAGAACTGTGATGTTCAGCGATTGCTTGCGTTTTGTCTGTCAAGAACACTTGAACGTTCTCCTTGTC